TCAATAATCCTCACTCTCTTATATGAATTATACATCCTTACAAGATGTGTGATTGTATGTTTATAATAATGTATGTTATTATGTATATCATTAATAGTATACAAATATAGAATTACATATCCATACCCTTTACTGTATAATTGTGCAGTGCCTCCCACTATGGGCAGAGTATGCTTCCCTGTCACATTTTGGTAGGACTTGGAGTGCAGTGGAGATGTCATAAGCACAGGTTTTCAGCCATTATTTTCTGGTTTGGCCTGTCCTCTGGTGCTCCTGTAATCTGCCACTAGAAGAGCATGCCCTGAAAGCTCCTGGCTCTTTAGGCCCCAAAATGAAGACAAGAAAAAACAGACTTGAGGCCAGGCGCACTGGCTCCTGCCTGTAATCCCAGCACTTTGAGAGGCTGAGGCAGGTGGATCACCTGAGGTCAGGAGTTCGAGACCAGTCTGGTCAACATGGTGAAACCCCATCTCCACTAAAAATACAAAAATTAGCCAGACATGGTGGTGGGCACCTGTGATCCTGGCTATTTGGGAGGCTGAAGCAGGAGAATTACTTGAATCTGGGAGGCGGAGGTTGCAGTGAGCCGAGATCCTGACATTGCACTCCAGCCTGGGCAACAGGAGCAAAACTCTGTCTCAAAAAAAAAAAAAAAAAAAAAGAAAAGAAAAGAAAAAACAGACTTGAACCTAAATGGAAGACTACAGGATTCAACCTGGTCTAGCTTAGATCAGCTAAACTGTTATCACCCCACTCTTCTATTAAATCTACACTTACTTAACTCTTATCATCTGAGCTATTATCTTTTGGATCCATCCCTGTTTCCTGTATGTCCTACAGGGCAGGGATTCTTTCTGTCTATTTATTCACTGATGTCAATCAAGCACCTAGAGCTGCCTGATACAAAGTAAGCCCTCCATAAATATTTGCAGGATGAATGATTTAACATACTGAACCACTTTAACTTATACATCAAAACATGCATTCACATTCCCAGTGATCACACTATTCTTTCCCACAGAGCTACATGAGATCTCACAGGACTTATTTCCAGGTTAGGAAGGTTGGGTTTTGGTTTTTGGGCAATTAGCAGCACCTCAAGATTATTTTTTTGTAGGCAGGTATAATGGTTACAATTAGGATTGGCTGGCTAGGCATGGTGGCTCATGCCTGTAACCCCAGCACATTGGAAGGCTGAGGCAGGCAGATGACTTGAGCTCAGAAGTTTGAGACCACTCTGGGCAACACGGTAAAACTCATCTCTGTTGAAAATACAAAAATTAGTAACTGTAGTCACAGCTACTCGGGAGGCTGAGGTGGGAGGATGGCTTCCACCCAGGAGGCAGAGGCTGCAGTGAGCTAAGATTGCTCCACTGTACTCCAGCCTGAGCAACAGAGCTAGACCCTGTCTTGAAAAAAAAAAAATAGGATTGGTTGTAAATGACTAAACATCCCAAATAAAAGAAAAAAAAAAA